GAGAAGAAATAAAACAGTGAAAAGTCAGTCTACAGAATGGGAGAAAATAATTGCAAATCACACATCCAATAAGGAGTTCAAAATATATAAGGACCTCAATGGCAAGGAAACAATTTAAAAATGGGCAAAGGACCTAAGTAGACATTTCTCAACAGAAGACATATAAATGGCCAAAAGGTTAGTGTTGGTGAGGATATGGAGAAAATGGAACCCTCGCATGCTGTTGGTGGGAATGTATATCAGTGCAGCCATTATGGCAAACAGCATGGAGTTTCCTTGAAAAACTAAAAATAGAACCAACAGTTTGTATGATCCAACAATCTCACTTTTGGGTATATATACCCAAAAATTGAAAATCAGTATTTTGAAGAGATAACATCTGCACTCTCATGTTTATTGCAGCACTATTCACAATAGCCAAGACATGGAATCAAGTGTCCATTGCCAGATGAATGGATAAAGAAAATGTGAATACATATATATATATATATCTTTTTTTTTTTTTTTGAAACATAGTCTTGCTTTGTAGCCCAGCAAAGTGATGCGATCTCGGCTCACTGCAACCTCTGCCTCTTGTGTTCAAATAATTCTCCTGTGTCAGCCTCCAAAGCAGCTGAGATTATAGGCGCCTGCCACAGCTAATTTTGTATTTTTAGTAGAAGTGGGGTTTCATCATGTTGGCCAGCTGGTCTCAAACTCCTGACCTCAGGTGATCCACCCACCTCGGCCTCCCAAAGTGCTGGGATTATAGGTGTGAGCCACTGCATCCCGCCTAAAAAAAAATTTTTTTTCAAAGAACAAAACCCCAAACCTGATAATACCAACTGTAGACAAGAATGTGGAGCAAATGGAACTGGTCATACATTGCTGGTGAGAATGCAAAATGATACAACTGCTCTGGGGAAACAGTTTAACAATTTCTCATGAAGTTAAACACATGCTTACCATTTAAATGTGTACTTACTATTTGACCTAGCAGTCTCGTAGGTGATTTTCACGCAAGAGAAATGAAACTTACGTTTGCACGAAACCTGTACTCAAATGTATATAGCAGCTTTAAGGCTGGGCACGGTGGCTCACGTTGGCTCACGGTGGCTTGCACTTAATCCAAGCACTTTGGAGGCCAAGGCAGGCGGATCACCTGAGGTTGGCAGTTCAAGACCTGAGGTTGGGAGTTCAACACCAGACTGACCAACATGGTGAAACCCTGTCTTTAAAAAAAAAAGAAAAAAATAGCAGCTTTATAATTGCTAAAAACTGGAAACAGGGCATGGCTCACGCCTGTAATCCCAGCACTTTGGGAGGCCAAGGTGGGTTGATCACGAGGTCAGGAGTTCGAGACCAGCCTTGCCAACATGGTGAAATGCTGTCTCTACCCCACCCTCCCCCCCAAAAAATTAGCTGGGCATGGTGGCACATGCCTGTAATCCTAGCTATTCAGGAGGCTGAGGCAGGAGAATTGTTTGAGCCCAGGAGGCAGAGGTGAGCTGAAATTGTGCCACAGCACTCCAGCACTCCAGCACTCCAGCCTGGATGACAGAGAGACTTTGTCTCAGAAAAAGAAAGAAAGAAAGAAACCAGTATCTTTCAGTTGGTAAGTAGTGTGGAATACAGTTGGCAATAAAAAAGAATAAGTTGTTTTGTACTACAACTTTGATGAATCTCAAATGCATTATGCTAAGTGAGAAAAAGACTCAAAAGGCTATGTATGATATGATTTTCTTATGTGATATTCTGAAAAGGCAAAACTATAGGGACAGAAGACAAATCAGTGGTTGCTAGGGATTAAGAGTGGCAGCAGGGTTTGACCATGAAGGAGTTTTGGGGGTGACAAGATATTGGTTTTTTTTTTGTTTGTTTGTTTTTTGAGATAGAGTCTTGCTTTGCTGCCCAGGCTGGAGTGCAATGGTGCAATCTTGAGTCACTGCAAAAAGTGGAAACAAAGGAAGTAAATATGACAACGTGCTAATGATATGTCATGAGATTATCAGTGTTTGCTTTATTATTGTACTGCTATTTTTTTAAATTGGCCAACATACAAACTACCAAAATATATCCCTTTTGGAGAAAGTTTAGAAAAGACAGAAAAGCAGATAGAAAAAAGTCACCAGTTGTCTTTAGACACTGTATTTTTTATCCTTTTCTACATGTCTTTTTGCATAATGAAAAGTGTACAATAAGAACAATTTACCCTTTGGTTTTACTTAGTATATTCTAAACTTATTTCCTTTGCCTTTTTTTTTTTTTTTAAGACAGAGTCTTGCTGTGTTACCCAGGCAGAAGTGCAGTAGAGCAATCATGGTTCACTGCAGCCTTGACCTTCCTGGGTTCAGGTGATCCTCTAGCCTCAGCCTCTAGAGCAGTTGGGATTTCAGGTGCATCCATGCCCAGCTATTTTTTTTGTATTTTTTGTAGAGATAGGGTTTAATCACTTTGCTCAGGCTGGAACTCCTCAGCTCAAGTGATCCACCTACCTTGGCCTCCCAAAGTGCTGGGATTACAGGTTTGAGCCACTACCCTTGCCTACCCCTTTGTCTTAAATGATCTTTGAAACATTATTTGCAATCTCAAAGCCTGCAGTTATCTCACCAACTGGTGTCATTGGGGATGCAGGCATTTCTGTAATATTAAATTGGTATATTTCACCTCTCTAGTGTTGGAGTACAAATTAGGGTATGTTTGCACGAATCCTGTGAATTATAATTGCTCTGAATCATTGTAATTTGATTAACAGAAGTCCTACTTTGGGGTTTATTTATATATTTATTTATTTCAGACAGAGTCTCACTCTGTTGCCCAGGCTAGAGTGCAATGGCAAGATCTTGGCTCACTGCAACCTCTGCCTCCTGGATTCTAGCAATTCTCCTGCCTCAGCCTCCTGAGTAGCTGGGATTACAGGTGTCTGCCACCATGCCTGTCTAATTTTTGTATTTTTAGTAGAGATGGGGTTTCACCATTTGACCAGGCTGGTCTCGAACTCCTGATCTCATGATCAACCTGTCTTGGCCTCCCAAAGTGCTGGGATTACAGATATGAGCCACTGTGCCCGGCCCAATTTTTTTGTATTTTTAGTAGAGATGGGGTTTCACCATGTCAGCCAGGCTGGTTGTGAATTCCTGATCTCAAGTGATCCACTCACCTCAGCCTCCGAAAGTGTGGGATTACAGGTGTGAGCCACCATGTCTGGACTACTTTGGAATTTTTCTCTACAATGTTTTCATGTTGTTAATGTAGCTGGGGGTCTAACATCACTGCTGGTCACTTAATCCTGCTGGAAGCCACTAGGATATGCCATCTCTGTGTAGTGCACTGTCAAGGAGAGCCATAGCAAAATAACAGGTTCATGCTGTCAGTGCTTTTGTGGAGAGGTCCACCTCCTGAGGTTCACTCCTATCATCATTTTCTCCTAAGGCATTAGATGATGCCTCTCTAGTCCAGCACTCACTACCCCCTTTTCACATTCTTCTTCTTCTTTTTTCTTTCTTTCTTTCTTTTTTTTTTTTTTTTTTTTGAGACAGGATCTGGCTCTGTCACCCAGACTGGAGTGCAGTGGCATGATCATGGCTCACTGCAGCCCTGACCTCCCAGGCTCAAGTGATCCTCCTGCTTCAGCCTCCTGAGTAGCTGGGACTACAGATGAACATCACAATTCCCAGCTAATTCTTTCATTTTTTTGTAGAGACAGGACTTCACTAAGTTGCCCAGGATGGTCCCAAATTCCTGGACTCAAGTGATTGGCCTGCCTCGGGGTCCCAAAGTGCTGGGATTACAGGCATTTGGCACCTTGGCCTTCACATTCTTATATACCCTTCTGTTTCCTTAGCTGTGAAATGGAGATAATGACATAGGTTTAATTCATGTGGAATGCTTAGCACAGTGCCTGGTACTTGATGGATTTTTTTCTTTCTACTTGAAATTTATTTTTGAGCCGGGCATGGTGGCTCATGCCTATAATCCTAGCACTTTGGGAGACCAAGGCAGGCAGATCACCTGAGGTCAGGGGTTCAAGACCAGCCTGGCAAACATGGTGAAACCCTGTCTCTACTAAAAGTACAAAAATTACCCAGGCGTGGTGCCACACACCAGCAACCCCAGCTACTTGGGAGCTGAGATGCAAGAATCGCTTGAACCGGGAGACGGAGGTTGCAGTGGTCCAAGATCACGCCACTGCAATCCAGCCTGGGCAATAAAGCAAGACTCTGTCTCAGAAAAACAAAAATTTGTTTTTGAGTAATATAAAACTCTCTGAATCCCTCTTTTTCTGAGCTGCTTCTCCACTTGAGTGCATCACACATCATTGATTATTTAATTACACAGAATTGTGTACCATCTTCCTTGACCCCCAGATCTTTAGCCTTCCATGGTACCCTGTGTTTCTTTTTGTTGTGCTAGTCATAGTTGCAATTTTATTTCTTTTGTGAAATTGATTACCATATGACCCTTTTATTGAAGTACTGTGAAGGCAGGAAACATGACTGGTTTTTACAGTATTTTCAACACCTAGCACAGTACGTGGTACACAGTAGGGCCTTAATAAATATTTGTAAAATAAAGTTCACGAATGCCTATGTTTGTAGTTTTAATTGCTCTAAAGTAAATATCTCGCCTGGCACTGTGGCTCATGCCTGTAACCCCAGAACGTTGGGAGGCTGAGGCAGGTGGATCATGAGGTCAGGAGATCAAGACCATCCTGGCCAACATGGTAAAGCCCCATGTCTACTAAAAAATTAGATAGGCGTGGTGGTGCATGCCTGTAATCCCAGCTACTGGGGAGGCTGAGGCAGGAGAATCGTTTGAACTAGGGAGTCGGAGGTTGCAGTGAACCAAGATCGTGCCACTGCACTCCAGACTGGTGGCAGAGGGAGACTCCGTCTCACACACACACAAAAAAAGGTAAATATCTCATTTTCCAATTTCCACCAGAGTGCTCTGCACGGAGTAGGTCTAATTAATTTTTCTTCTTTACTAATCACCCATACCTTGTAAGAATTCAGTTAGTTGACTTTTTGTAGTTTATAAGCATGATTGGGTGTTCCTGTGTGTGTGTGAGATTTGCCACCCACGAACCTTGTTATGAAGTCGGCGCATTGCGTGTCCAACATGAGGAAAAAGAAATAAGAATTCAGTTAGTGGACCAGGCACAGTGGCTAAGACCTGTAATCCTTGTACTTTGGGAGGCCAAGGCAGGAAGATCACTTGAACCCAGGAGATCAGCCTAGGCAACATAGCGAAACTCCGTCTCAAACAACAAATAAAAATAATTAGCCGGGCATGGTGGTGCGCGCCTGCAGCCCACTACTCGGGAGGCTGAAGTGCGAGGCTCGCTGGAGCTCGGGACGTCAAGGCTGCAGTGAGCCGAGATGTTGCCACTGCACTCCAGCTCGGGCGACAGAGTGAGACCTTGTCTCAAACAAACAAACAAACAAAAAACCCAAAACCCAAACCTTAGAGGGGTGAAAAAAAAATTATAGTGTAAATATGCTAAATGAGTCAGCCTCGCGTCGGCTTCGTTCAGCCTCCGCTTTCGTTTGAACGGACCCTGGGGCGGAGGATCTTTTTGCGCACGCGCACAGCCTCTGGCCAGCTATTTCCCCCGGTGGGTTCCATCCCCTTCCGAGTGCGCGCGAAGACTACGGAGGTCGGCTCGGGAGCGCGCACGCAGCCCCGCCCCGCGACCGGCCCGCGAATCCCGCGGCGTCCGGCCTGGGTCGCTAAAGGAATGCCCCGGAGGGCGGAGAACCGGGACTAGGCCGAGGTAGGGGCGGAGGAGTCGGGCGCCTCGGAGTCCGGCCCGGAAGAGTCCATCCCGGAGGGGCCGGGCGCTGAGAAGGAGATGGAGGCCGGGCGGCCGCGGCCGGTGCTGCGCTCGGTGAACTCGCGCGAGCCCTCCCAGGTCATCTTCTGCAACCGCAGCCCGCGCGTCGTGCTGCCCGTGTGGCTCAACTTCGACGGCGAGCCGCAGCCCTACCCCACGCTGCCGCCGGGCACGGGCCGCCGCATCCACAGCTACCGAGGTACGGCCCGGCGCTCAGGCCCGACCCAGCGGGGACGATAGCACGGTCTCCTGGAGCCCTTTCCGCCCCGGGGTCCATTTTGCAGACGGGGAACTGAGGCTCCGAGAGGTGGGACACTTCCAGGGTGATGCTGCTCGCACGCGTCACAGTATTCTTCATAAGGCTGAATCGTTTGCATTTGAAGGTGGCTTCCTCCCACCGCCTCAGGTGTATTTTCCCTTAAAGAGCTCCATCCTTAACGCTCCATCTGTTCAGTCCTGATGACCCGCGTAGGCCAGCTCTGCGTAGTCCCTGCCCCCATGGAGAACACATTCCTCCTGGGAGACAGCCAGATGCAGAAACAGATAGGAACAAGCCAGGGTCGTGCTGGCGCAGGAAGAGCCGAGCGTGTGTGGCCTGGTAGCTTGGCCTACCCTCCTGCTGGGAGACGGAGGGGTTGCGGTTGTGTGGTTTCAGCTAAGGGGCGCTTCCCAGGGAAGGAAGGGAGCAGGATGGAGTAGGAGCTAGCCAACCCAAGGTTAAGAGGCGAGAGTTCTAGACATGCATGTGTTGAGACCTGGAGTCTTGGGAGAGGACGCTCAAAAGGTGATTTTACCCCTAGGAATATGGGGCCGTTGATATTGTCTTTTTAATTATTATTATTTTTTAAATTAGACTTTAAGTTATGGGATACATGTGCAGATCGTGCAGGTTTATTAGGTATACACGTGCCATGGTGGTGGTTTGTTGCATCTGTCACCCCGTCATCTACATTAGGTATTTTTCCTAATGCTATCCCTCCCCGAGAATTTTTTTTTTTTTTTTTTTTTTTTTTCTTGAGACGGAGTTTCACTCTTGTTACCCAGGCTGGAGTGCAATGGCGCGATCTCGGCTCACCGCAACCTCCGCCTCCTGGGTTCAGGCAATTCTCCTGCCTCAGCCTCCTGAGTAGCTGGGATTACAGACACACGCCACCATGCCCAGCTAATTTTTTTTTTTTTTTTGTATTTTTAGTAGAGACGGGGTTTCACCATGTTGACCAGGATGGTCTCGATCTCTTGACCTCGTGATCCACCCGCCTCGGCCTCCCAAAGTGCTGGGATTACAGGCTTGAGCCACCGCGCCCGGCATGAGAATTTTTTATTTTTTTATTTTTTTCGTGATGGAGTCTTTGCTCTGTCGCCCAAAGTAGAGTGCGGTGGCGCAATCGCATCTCACTGCAGCCTCCGCTCCCCGGGGTCGAGTGGTTCTCCCACCTCAGCCTCCCGAGTAGCTGAGATTACAGGCGTGCACCACCATTCCCAGCTAATTTTTTGTATTTTTAGTAGAGACGGGGTTTCACCATGTTGGCCAGGATGGTCACGGTATCTTGATCTCGTGACCCGCCTGCCTGAGCCTCTCAAAGTTCTGGGATTACAGGCTTTAGCCACCACGCCCAGCCCATTTTAAGTTTTTAATCAGGGTCATGATATTGACAGATTTACTTACTGAAAAGCTCACCCAGCTTGCAGGTTTGAAGGGGGAAGACTACTGTTGAGGAAGCAGTTAAGTAGTTGTGAAAACCCAGGTGAGGAATAACTAGGCCTTATCTAAGGTGCTGGCGCTAATCTTCCCTTAGCCTTCAAGCAGAGAAGTAGTCCTAGTCACACTTAATCTTTTTTTTTTTTTTGAGACTGAGTCTCATTCTGTTGCCCAAGCTGGAATGCAGTGGCGTGATCTTGGTGGCTCACTACACTCTCCGCCTCCTGGGTTCAAGCGATTCTCCTGCCTCAGCCTTCCAAGTAGCTGGGATTATAGGCAAGCGCCACCACACCCAGCTAATTTTTCGTATTTTCATATTTTAGTAGAGATGGGGTTTCTCCATGTTGGTCAGGCTGGTCTTGAACTTCCGACCTCAGGTGATCCACTCACCTTGGCCTCCCAAAGTGCTGGGATTACAGGAGTGAGCCACCGCACCTGGCCTTTATTTTTATTTTTAGTAGAGATGAGGTCTTGCTTATGTTGCCTAGGTTGAGATCCTGAGACTCCATCTCTTTTTTTTTTTTCCCTTGAGACTGATTCTTGCTCTGTCACCCAGGCTGGAATGCAGTGGCATGATCTTGGCTCACTGCAACCTCTGCCTCCCCGGTTCGAGTGATTCTCCTGCCTTTAGCCTCCTGAGTAGCTGGGATTACAGGCATGTGCCATCACTCCCAGCTAATTTTTTTGTACATTTAGTAGCGATGGGGTTTTGCCATGTTGATCAGGCTGGTCTTGAACCCCTGACCTCATGATCCACCCGCCTCAGCCTCCCAAAGTGGGCATTAGCTACTGTACCCAGCCTGAGACCTCATCTCTTAAGAAAATGGAATTACTGGCCGGGCGCGGTGGCTCAAGCCTGTAATCCCAGCACTTTGGGAGGCCGAGGCGGGTGGATCACGAGGTCAAGAGATCAAGACCATCCTGGTCAGCAAGGTGAAACCTCGTCTCTACTAAAAATACAAAAAGTTAGCTGGGCATGGTGGTGCATGCCTGTAATCCCAGCTACTCAGGAGGCTGAGGCAGGAGAATTGCCTGAGCCCAGGAGGCGGAGGTTGCGGTGAGCCGAGATCGCGCCATTGCACTCCAGCCTGGGTAACAAGAGCGAAACTCCGCCTCAAAAAAAAAAAAAAAAAAAAAATGGAATTACTTTTGAAGGTACTTAATGCCACTGAATTGTACATTTAAAATTGTTAAAATGGTAAATTTTCGAGGCAGGTGGATCCACCTGAGGTCAGGAGTTTGAGACCAGTCTGACCAATAAGGTGAAACCCTGTCTCTACTAAAAATACAAAAATTATTTGTGTGTGGTGGTGTGCGCCTGTGATCTCAGCTACTCGTGGTCCCAGCTATTCGTGGTCCCAGCTATTTGGGAGGCTGAGACAGGAGAATTGCTTGAACCTGGGAGGTGGAGGTTGTAGTGAACCAAGATCCTGCCACTGCACTCCAGCGTGGGCAACAGAGCAAGACTCTGTTTCAAAAAATAAGTAAATAATAAAACGAAATGGTAAATTTTATGTATATTTTATCAACATTTTTTTTTTCTTTTTTTTTTTGAGACGGAGTTTCACTCTTGTTACCCAGGCTGGAGTGCAATGGTGCGATCTTGGCTCACCGCAACCACCGCCTCCTGGGTTCAGGCAATTCTCCTGCCTCAGCCTCCTGAGTAGCTGGGACTACAGGCACGCACCACCATGCCCAGCTAATTTTTTGTATTTTTAGTAGAGATGGGGTTTCACCATGTTGACCAGCATGGTCTCGATATCTCCACCTCGTGGTCCACGCCCCTTGGCCTCCCAAAGTGCTGGGATTACAGGTGTGAGCCACCGCGCCCGGCCACCAGTTTACATTTTTAAAAATAACGCCCCAGGAACAAGTGCTGTATTTATTCTGAGACAACCTCCTCCTTAAACAGAATCTTAGGGCTGGAGGCTTGCTTCCTGCCCTCTTTTGTATATGATGTATTTCTTTTGAAAATTCGGTTATAATTTACACCCAGTAAAATGCACAGATCTTAGGGTTTGATGAATTTTCTCTCGACATGTTTTTGCACTTCCTTGTTTTTAAGAAGCACTGATTTGAGGAGACAGTGGCTTTCTCTCTTTATTTTGCAGGGTTTGCTGTGATTTGTAATCACGTCCTTGACCTAGGCTTCCCTTTTCCACCATGGTGGCAGAAAGAGCGTGGGATTTAGAGCTTCAAGTGCGTGTTCTTTGCTTACTGTCTTGTACCTTGAGTATGTCATTTGCCCTCTCAGACCTGTTTTCTCATCTGTAAATGGATCTGTTGTGAGGACTGACTTGAGATACTGTTACTAGTAGGGCTTTGTATGCCATGTAAGCAGAGTAAAAGGCAAGCTTTTTGTGTAGGTCAGGGGAAATGAAGAAAATAGGTGCCCTGACTCAGACCATTGTGGCTCGTTAACAACCTTTTTGCTTGTCCTAATAGGTCACCTTTGGCTCTTCAGAGATGCAGGGACACACGATGGGCTACTGGTTAACCAAACTGAATTATTTGTGCCATCTCTTAATGTTGACGGACAGCCTATTTTTGCCAATATCACACTGCCAGGTACTGATGTTCAGTCTTA